GCGTCCCGGGCAGGTGGGCAGGGTGGGACAGGGTGGAGGTGGGTGTGGACCAGCCCCATCCTGCCTCAGAACTGGGCTCTAGCCACCCCCCTCCTCCTCTTTTCGGGCACTCTTCACACCTTGGTCTCCCAGCGGAGACCTTGGTCACTCACCTCCTCTGGAAAGCCTTCCTGGCTCAGCCCTACCCAACCCAGGTTCCCTTAGGCTGGGGAGTCGTCCCCCTCAGGACCACAGCTCTGGGGCTGTTTCTTGCTGTGTGTCAGCTGTGCATCATCTGTTTCCTCAGCTGGACTCCAGAGTCCTCCGAGGCCTGGGGGCACCCCTTCCCTATCACAGGGGGTAACAGGCTCTCAGTGACCCTAGTGTAACCCACTATTTGTGCTTGAACCCCAATGCCGCCGTCTACCCGGGCGACCTCAAGCAAGTTACTTCACTTCTCCAGGCCTCAGCTTCCTTAGCTGTAAAATGGGGGTGGTGACGGTCCCCATCGCGGGGTTGTTTGAGGACTAAGATGCCACAGCATGCAGAGTGCTCAGGAGTCCCTGTAGGGAGTAAAGGCTGTGCTTGTGTGAGCTGTTTTATTATCTTTTCAATCACTCTTGAAAATGGAGAAAAGGAAAGAGGTGGGAGGAAGGGCGAATAGAGATCATTTCCCTGGTTTTCCCCTGTCCTCTCCAGGGCTGAGCCTCCAGCAGAAGCGGCAGGGGCTGGGCTGCCCACTGCCATCAGGAAGCATCCTGCTTTGTTTGCCCCCTGGGGGGAGAAGTGGGTCAGAGTATTCCGGACACGTGGGGGTGCAAGTGGTAGCCCTTCCTGCTCTGACTCGACCTCTAGCTCTTCCTGAGCCTGAGGACTGGCTGGGCCCCCAGCTGAGGGTGGAGGAGGGGGTGCCCAGGCACTCAGTTGCAGTGTGCCCTTGAGATGTCAGCTTGAGACACAGGGACCCCCTCCTGTCTCCTGGAGGCCCGAGGATATTCACATAGCGCCATTTTGCCCCACCCTTCTTTCCCTTCCTACTTCTTTGTGGCAAGTCAAGATTCTTGCGAGCTGGTTGCCATCGTACTGGGGGTTAGGGGTCTAAGACCCACCTGGAGGAACACGTGGCTGCCCCCAGCCCCTCACACAGCTCACGCTGGTGATTCCAGATTATCATCCGGCAGAGCTGGGTGCATGGCTGGGGCCTGTAGTCCCATGGGCTCCTGCCGCTTTGGGCCAGGCACATCTGTGGCACCTACTTGTCCTTCAAGCCTGATGAAGAACCAGCTCTGTGACCCGCCCCGCCCCCAGGCTCATTGCTCCTAGCAGAGAGGAGTTCTCTGCTACCTCCCTTGAATATAACATCCCCATCCACACCTTTGCCCGCCCTCCCCCTCCCTCACAGGGTCTCTGTGGTTACTCATCTTTGTCCCCAGCCTCTAGCGCCCGGCCTGGCACGTGGCAGGGAAATGTTCTGGTGGCTGCCAAGCCGATGTCCACATACTCAAGGAATGTGACCTGCTGTGTTATCAGCCAGACACAGCCAGCGAGGATGGCAAACACCCCTCCCCCAAATCACACACTCTGTCTGCTGTGTTCCCTCTGCCCCAGCTTTTCTGGCCACTTCTAACTTGTCCCTTAAATTCCCCTCGGATGAAAGTGAGGTGGTATTAAGAAAAAAAAATTGAAATCTCATGTCATGCACACCAGAGGAACAACAGATGCTTTCAAACTGTGCCTGGTGGCACATTATCTTCATCCCTGCTCCCCAGGGGGACAGGTGACAGAGGAGCGGGCGCTCATAGCTTTGATGATGGCTGTTAGGTTCGCGCATCAGACGCTAGGAGGGGATCCCTGCAGAAGGGTGGCGAGGCGGGCGTCCCTACAGAGACTTCCTGCCCACCCCGAGCCACCCAGAGTCGGAGGTGAGCACAGGGCCTCCACAAACTGGTCGCTGCGTGTAGCCAGCTTCCTTCCGAGCGAGCCTCCACTTAGCCCTGGGCTGGGCTCGGGACTCCCTCGCACCAAAGGAAGAAAAAAAAAGTGACGCCTCTGCTGTCCCATCGCCCCTGCCCTCAGCGGAGAACTGGCTCGGCTTCTCCCCTTCCCCCCCACCCCCGCCACCGCCCTGAAATACTCCACACAGCAGGTGCATGCAGACACACCACAGGCTGCCACGCACGCTGACATGCTCACGGGCGTCCCTGTGTGTGCCCCGCAACACACACAACACACAACACAGACGCACACACACACTCTCTCCAGCTCAGCTGGACCCCACACAAACCATTTGCTCTCTGGCTCGTGTTTGCTCGTCTCCTACACACAAAGGCCTCAGCCTGCGTGGCTCCGAGCGTGGCCCTGCAGCTAGCTGCCCGGATTCCAACCCTGACTACCGCCAGCAGCTGGTGGCCCAGGGCTGCTCCCTTCGCTCACCTTTAAGATGGGGGTTGCATGTTCACAGTGCAGTTTGTTATGAGGAAGGCACAGGCATTATTACTCTTGTCCTCAGAATTATTACTAGGATTGGTATCCCAGCTCTGTGATCCTCAGGGACCCGCTACAGACAAGACACGGACACGCCGCCAGGTGCACTCACGGTCACGTGCACGCCTGAGCTACGCTGACACAGAAGCAGTGACTGAACGCTAAACAGCCCCAGTTCTGTACACTGTGGGGAAACCAAGGCCCGCGGGCCCTCTCTGCGCCCCCTGCAGCTGTGAGACACACATGACTCACAGCTCACAGAGACAGGCAGGGCCCTCCCACGGACAGGACCCAGGCCCAAGGCTCCTGTCCGCTGGGCCAGAATTCCCCACAGTGAGGAAGACTCCCGGACACAGGCGGGAATGTGAAGTAGGAAACACACCGCGGGCAGCTCTGCCCTCCCTGAACCCCAATGGCCTCCACTCACAAGGAAGGGCCCAGAACCTCCCTACCTTAATTCTGGGCGTTCCCTACCCCAAGCAGCACCATCCTTCTCCTTTGCGAGAGGCACTTCCTGAGGGCGCAGCTAGGAGCGGTTGATCTCTGGAGCCTGGGATCCCTGGAGACTCAGTGTGGGTGACTGGGTGCATGAGCGGGCAGTGAGGGAGCCCCATGCAGTCATGCTCCTCCTGTTTACCACACTGCTGGTTCCGGGGGAGCGATGTCCACGCCACAAGAAGTGGGGCCTCCGACTTCTTGGTGCGGGATCATGGTCGCTACTTTTTTTTTAAGATTTATTTATTATGCATACGGAACTGGGTACAAGCCAGAGGTGTGGGGGCAGTGAGAGGCTTCACCAGAGACCGAGTGGGGAGCAGACCTGGCAGATGGACAAAGTGCACTGCTGAGGGGAGCAGCGGGTGAGACAGGAGGTGTCTGCCGCGCCATGCGGGTCACCTCTGGGGCCAAGGATCGAACTTGCACTGAGGTGGCTGCACCAGCTTGCAGGGCTTTGTCCTAACCCGCTGCGCCACCAGGTTGCTACTTCTTAACCCCCAACTTTCCAGGGTCCGGGGCAAAGCCAGATCTCTGCTCAGGGCCCTGTCCTCCAGCGGCCGCCAGCTCCCAGGCTGGGTCCCAATCTGATCACACAGCCAGACTGGCCTGGCAGTTCCCAGAGCCACCTGGGTGCATGCCCCCAACAGGGGACCATCAAGGGGAATGTGCACAGCCCCTGAAAACCCAGCATCACCCCTTTGACTCTCCTCAGTCCCTCTAAGGGAACATGGACCCCACCGGGCACCCAGGGCAAGAGCCAGCACCCTTACTCTGTGTCACACAGAAAACCAGACAGTCCAGTTCTGCCTATTCGGATACCCCAAACTCATCCGAAGAAAACAATGAAAACACTGTGACACAACGCTGCGGACTCCCAGTCCAGCAATCACCACTCAGCCACCAGCCCGCTGCCCTTCAGCCTGTCCCCAGTCCTCTCGCATGAAAAGGCGCCCTGCAGCCAGCCGGGGTCCTCTCATGGCCCCTGACACCACTTCCATGCCCACTCTAGGCTCCCTCCCACCCCGGCCCTCGCCCTCGCTCTCCCTTTCCCTTTGTCTATGTTGGCACAGGGCTCACCTCCTGCAAGACCCTGCCACCTCAGGAGCCACCCCCTCCCCGCCACCCTCACCTCACCCTAGGCTTCTTCCCCTCTCCTGAGGTGCTCCTCCCAGGTTCTCCCCTAGTCTGCCCTGAGGGCTCTTTTCCCTTTCATCTCCTGGAGGGATGTGGAGATATCCCAGTTTTGCCCCTCAGCCCCTCCCACCCCCACACATCACGCCCTCCTGTAGCTCCCAAGACTCCAAAATCCTTATCTTCAGCCAAGCTCTTTCTCCAGGTGGACAGCCCACAGATACAGTTAGGTGGTTGTGTCCAAATCTGGGTCCCTTCAAAACCACTCAGAGACGGCACTGCCATCCACCCAGAACGTTGGGCACACGTGGAGACTGCCCCGACTGTCACAGCCGTCACAGGCCTTGTCCCAACACCTCTCGGCTCCATCCACCATGCTGGCATCCACCTCCCCCTGGGGTCCAAGCCAGCGAGTGCTCTCCTGTGGCAGCTGCCACGTGGCCCTCCTGCTTGTAGCTCTGTGCCTCTTCCACCCATTCCCACACAGCAGCCCAAGGTAATCGGTAGAAATACTATGGTAAGCACGGTGCACCCATTTAAAACTCTTGGGCCCACCCACCCGTCCATCTGTGACAACGTGCAATCGGTCCCGTGCTTTCTGACTGCCGCTTCTCGGCCTTTGCACACACTGTCCCCGTGGCCTGGAGACCTTTCTCCTGCTTGGTCAACTGGCCAACATGCCCGTCATGCAAGACTCAACTCAGAACTTGGAGTGTACTTCCTCTGGGAAGCCTTGCCTGTCCCCAAGCATAGTTTCAAACCCTTAAACCTCCCTCCCTCCACCTCAGCCCTACAGTTGTTGGGTTGCTTGTCGGTGGTCCTGGGGACCACTTGGGGGGCACTACCGGCCTACATGCCAGGACTGTGGGCATCCGAGGGTGGGGAGTGGGGTGCAAGCCCAGCCTTACCTGTCTCTGCGGGCCTGTGGGATCTGACTCTCTCCGTCGAGGGCGGGGTCCCGAGTGCAGGGGCGAGTGGGAAGGGCTGCCTGGCGTGGGGGGCTGCGATGTCTCTGACCTGCCCTCAGCCTGGCTCAGCTGGGGTGGCGGGGGCTGGGATGGCATCTGCCTCAGGTCCTCCTCGGCCAGGGTCTGCATGCTGCGTCCCCGGGGCCGGACGGAGTGCTCTGGCCCTGGCCGCCGCCGCTCCTCGCCCTCCTCGGGCAGCGGCCGAAGTTCCTCAGGCTCCTCATCCGTGGTGCCCGACGTGCTGGGCTCGGCCCCCGGGGGGAAGTCCTTGAGCTCCGTCTCCTTGTCAATGATCACCCACTCCTTGCTGTCAAAATCTTCCTCCTCGGCCAGTGGCACCGAGCGGAAGGCGTTGCTCAGGGCCTCCTGCTCCACGGAGGCTGACACGTCCATGCGGCCGCTGGCCTGCCGGTCAGCGTGGCCTGTGTCCACTGACAGCATCTGAGCTGGCTGCGAGGAGCAGGCCTGGCGCGAGGGGGAGCCGGGAAGATCCATTCGTGACCTGCAACGTCAGCCCACATGGGACTCAGTGCCTGGCCTCTCCGGACCCCCGACCCCCCCAGAGGTGACAGGGGTGGTGTTTGTGATGCCTGGAACCTGCCAATCAGCATGCCTTCCACTCTGACCAGGCTCAGTCACTCCCAGCTGTCACCCTCCAACCCTGCTCCCTGTGCAGACTCTGTCCATCATTCGGGCAACAGTCTCCCCCCGCCCCCCACAAGGCGGTTTATAAAGAATACCAGGCTGTTTTGTTCTTTATAATGATTATCATTTTGCCATATTTACTTATATAGCTTTAAAGAAAGTCTATAACCCAGCCCCAAATCCCTCCCACTCCCAGGCTGGACTAACCCAGCATGATTTACCTTAGATTTTTTCCTGGCAAGTCAATTAACTCCGCATCCTTTAGTAAATGGCCTATGCTTTCTGCATGCTCCCTGGTGCGCACACACACGCAGTTTTTATTACTGTTGATTTAAAATATGCCCTGCAATCTTTCAAGGCAAATTTCTCATTGTTGTCCTAAAAGATGACTTACTTATTCTTTGCTCTGGTCAACAACACCCATTTTCTGAGTGCTTACCATGTTCCAGGAATACGAGCATGCGGAAACTAAACTCTGGCTTCCAGGACCAAGGAACACTCTCCTCTGGACAAAGATTAAGGGGAACTTAATTTTCCTGAAGCCAACTTGATGCTGCCCACCCCGAGCTCACCCTCTCAGGGTCCCCCCTGCCCTCTGCGTGTAGGTGGCGGGCTGCTCCTTGAATTTGCAGATGGTTTTGCTGGTCTCCTCCCCCCAGCCCCACTGAGGCCTGCCTGGATGGTTTCACCACCCCCATTAAACTCCAGCAGCTCCCCAGCCCCAAGAAGAAAAAGTCCACATTCCTTAGCTTGCCACTGGAGGGTCCTGGGGGGCGGAGTGAAGCCCCATTCCCCCTAAACAGACCCATCTCAGTTCCACTTTTCTCCAAATTGCCCAGGAGCTCACAGCCCTTGCCTTGAACTCTGCTGTCAGATTCATGTCTGCTGCCACCTCCTACAGGGAGCCCTTCCCAGTTTGCCCTCTCAGTTCTCCCAAGCACTCTGTTTACACATCCGTGGCCTCCACAAGCCACTGTGTAGGCTGGGTCCCCTCTGACTTTTTACCTCGGAGGCACTCATCCTCCCTGGGGACATCTCCTTTGTTGTTATCAAACTGCTGTGAACCTTGCATTACTTCCAGAGGTTCCTAACAGAGGGGCCAGATGGTGCTTCTCAGCCCTCCGTGAGGGTATTTCTGGCTTAAGGTTCTGACACAGGAAGAGCTGTCCTCTCCCACAAGCCAGGATGTCCCCAGGATGGTGGAGGCCTAGCTCCAGGGCTGTGCACCTCTGGGCGGCTTTCATTGTCCCCCAGACTCATGTCCCAGGGGCTACAGAACAGGGCTCCTGCCAGACGCTCTCCTGCCCGCCTGCTTGGCGCCAGCTGACTGGACTCTACGGGTATTTTTATTGATTTCTTAATAAGGTTTAAAATAAAAACAGCCCTGCAGGAGGTCACCCCAGGGTCTCACATTTATCCTCCCACCTGAGTGGCAATGTCACTTCCTTTCCCAGAGTGCCTGGCTTGTTTTGATGGATGAGAAGGAGCGAGGGTGCCGGAGGAGGAAGAGGCTCACAGACGGGGTGGGGAGGGTGTGAGTTAAAGAAAGGGGAGGTGGGCAATCCAAGTCTCTTCTTCTTCTTTCTAGCTGCTGGGATCAAGTGTCCCAGTGCCCAAATCCTTGTGTCTTGCCTGTGAGATCCCGGACCTTCCAGTCCAGACCATCACTGGATCAAGGATTTATTTTGAGTCAAACTAGTCTGCGCTTCAGGACTATCCTCACCCAGGGAATTTCCTCCCTCTCTTCTCCACTCATATCCTTTCCAAACTACCCTTCCTCACCTCTCTATTTCCGAAAGCCTCCAGGCTACCATGGGTGACAAGGTGACACAGTCCCAGCCTGTGAGTGGGTGTGAGGACTGTCAGCTCCCTGAGGACAGGGCCCACGCCCCATTGTCCTGGGGTGGCTGCAGGGCCTGGTGCTGGGCTCCCGCATTGCAGGTGTCCCCGCACCCCAAAGCGGCACTATGCTGCCCCCGGGTGGAGCGCACATTGGTACAGAAGCCATGTGAGGGACTGTGGCTGAGGCGGGGCGTGGAAAAGGACCCTTCCCCCAGAACTGGTTGTCAGGAGGAGACCCCTTTCTGCAGAGAAGGTCTTTTTCCTTGTCTGCATGGGGAGAAGCACACCCCAGACAAGGCAGGGCATCTCTCAGGGGCCTCTCCATGCAAGGTTGTCCCTCTGGGCCCTGGGCCCTCCCGACCATCAGCCACCCAAGGTCAACAGGCCACGCTCACCCCAAAGGCTTCCCAGCACAGCCTTCCACAAGCCAACCTTCTGCTCACCTCCCTAACATTCAGATCCCTCGGCTCTAACCCCCGTTTTTGGTCCCCAAATTGAGCCGAGCAGTTAGTTCCCTGAACTCATCTCCTAGGCCCTCTCCCAAAGCTGAAAGGAGCCTCATCAGCTGCTCTGAGGCATGTGTAATTGGTCTCAGGAAAGAGCTTCTGGAAGCCTGCCCACCTTCCAACTCATGCCTCCTCTCCTCTGGGCTGTGGGCCCAGCTGGAGACCCCCCAAAGCCTGCTCGCCTCCCCACCCTCGGTGGCAGGAGGGGACTGTGTCCCTTATCCTCTCCTGTCACTGGCTGACCAGATCTGACCCCAGGCCCAGAGATGACCCTCTCAATAATCCTAAGGTGCCCCCACCTCCACCTCATCTGACCTTTCCCCCAGACCAGCCTCGTGATGGTCAGCCCCCGCCCCACACCCTACCCCCGGCCCCAGCCCCACCTCCGCTCATGCAGCTCCACTCGTCCATCTGCTGTGGACAGCCTCTCTGACTCGGGGCTGTTGACCCTCCGGTAGCGCAGAGAACGAACTGGGGTCGTTGGGGAGTCTGGGGGGGCACGGACCGGAGAGCTGGGGACCCCCACACCTCGGTTTTGCTCCTCTTCCACCACACAGGGGGTCTGCAGGAGAGGGGGCATCCATGAGCTGGGCTGAAAACGGGGCTGTGAGCCAGGCAGCACGCTCAGGGTGAAGGGGACAGAGGGAAGCTGGAGCAGAGAGGCAGTGACCCCAAGATGGCGTGAGGCCAGGGTGGTGGAGGGGCCAGGAGACAGGCAAGCAGGCACAGGGGGAGAGGGGCTCCGGTTTGGAATTGGGGGGAGGCCCATGTGCGAACTGGGCAGAGGAGGGGGAGGCCCCCCACACCCTTCTCCCTGGCTGTAGTTACTTTGCCAATGTTGATCCGGAGTTTATTCCGGTTGACATCGGTCTCCTCCCAGACTTCAGCCTCGGGACCCCCAGTGTGGGGGGCAAGGTGGGGGCCAGGGCCCAGCCCCTCAGGGGGCCGGCCAGGCAGGATTGGGGGTGCATTCTCCTGGTCACTCAGGTGCTCGCCCTGCAGCACATCCTCGGTGTTCTCTCGGAGCAGGTCCCCGGGCACTGGCGTCACATTGACCACCCTGGAGGGACCAGGAGGGGGTTAGAGGCAAGGCTGGCTGGGGGGGCCGGGGGGGTGAGGGGGAGGCTCCTCCCATGACCCCCTCCTACCAGCATAGGTGCTGGACCACCTACCGCCCATGGGAGTGTCCCTAGGCCCGTCACCATCCCTGATTCCAAAGCCTCTGAGGGCAGCCCACGCTGGGGCTGGCCGGGGGCGTCCGGGAGACATGGCTGCCCGGGGTGGTGCCCTCTTGGCCTAGGCAGTTCTGCTGCTTCTGGGCCTCCAGATCTCCACAGCAGTTCGCTGCCAGCTTCCTCAGACCAGGAGTGGTCTCTGGAGATGAGTCCCTTGGGAGCGCCGAGGGCAGCACCATCACATGCTGGCAAGTGCTGCCCTTCCTGCTCGGGGTCTGGAAGCCCTCTTCTCTGCTCAGCTCACCTCTGAGGCTGGGCAAGGAGCCCCTACTCATGCTGCGTCTCCCTGGGCAGCCTCTGTCTTTGTGCAGCCTCTGGAGTATTTGCCCAAATACCCCAGACTCAAATGACAACACTTCGAAGGCCAGGGAGCGAGTTTTTCCTCTGAGCCCCTGAGGGCCTTGTACAAGGGCTCAAGATGTTCGTTAAATGAACACACATGGGCACCAGGAGACAGCCGAACCATGGGGCTCAGACAATCCCTCTCGGGGTGCCCTGCTCCCCGGTAAAGTCAAAACTTCTGAAAGAGGAGGATTCCTACTCTGTTCCCAGGCTGAGGGTGGAGATATCGTAGAGTTTTCTGAAGTTGGTGAACCCCGTGAACCCCATGTTGAACATTAAGAACAGGAGAGACAGCCAGGTAAGGAGAGAAGAGCGCCGGCTTCTTGGTGACAGCGGCAGGCTGGGGCTGTCTGGCCCCTCACCCGTCACCACCCCACTCACCCAAACATGGCTGCCGTCTGCCGCGTGTTCTGCTGGGGCGGCGTGGACGTGCTCGTGGACAGAAGGGCATCCGTGCCTGCCTTCTCCCAGTCGAAGGCCTCGTTCTCCGCAATGCCCCGCTCCTTCATGCTGTTCTCAAACACTGACATGATCAACTGCAGGGGGTGGGGTGGCGGGAGGACAGAGAGGTGACCCGGGGGCTAGCCAGGAGCAGCAAGCGATTGCTGGGATTGCAGGAGGAAGAAAGGGACCTTGCAGGACAGGGTTGGGCCAAGAGAGAGCATTGGAAGGAGAAGGGCATATTGATTTTAGGTGAAAACATGCATATGATATGCAAATAAGTTATGCAAATTATCATCTTGGTTTAAGCCCTGGCTGGACACAAGGCCTCTGAGATTAGTCCTCTGACTTCATTACCCAGCCCCCTGGGGATTGCCACGTCACCATCTGCCATTTTACAATCTCAGCTGAAGCACTGGCGGCCCTGAACGGGTAGTTTCTCAAAACCGTCACCTGGGCTCGCGCCTCTGCACAGGTGGCTTCCTCCACCTGCAGCGATATTCCCGCCTGTCCTCCCCTCTCAGAAGCCTTCCCTGATCCCCACCACACAGCTCCCACAGTTGTACAGTGCATTAGTCTGAACTGGTCACTTGCCGATGTGCTAATTCTGCATCTCTAGCACTGCGTGTGTTCACAGCTATGGGGCTGGAGGATGCCATGAGGTTGAGCTAGAATGGGGGGCATGGCCCTGAGTTCTGCCAGCATCCAGAGCTCTAGGCTCAGGAGATGGCAGACAGGTGCAGAACTTCTGAGGCCTCCAGACAGTTAAGTTCTGGCACAGCCCCCCAAAAGCAGGGCACATCCTCTCCTAACAGGATCAACTTCCCCGGGAGCCCACTGTGTGGCCTGCATGGTCTTTTCTCCCCACGGGGCTCAGCACCATTCCTGGCCCACAGGCTGCGGCTGTCAGATGTCCAGGAACACTGCGGACACCCTTTCCCATCCTCCTCCATCTCTGATGTGGGTGGGGCCAGGGGCACTGAACTCGGAGAGGTGCCTGCTCTGCTCCCAACCACGCTCCTTGGCCTGGGTTTCTATGGAATGGGGACAGTCACCCCACTTGGCCTCCTGCAGAGTTTGGTGTAAAGTACTTGAAAGCACTTGGCTTCACTGATTGTTAGCTACTAAAATAGTAACATAAGGAAGACACATTAGCACCAAACGTTTGTTTTGAAGCTTACATGCGTTAATGATTAAAGAGCACTGAGAAGAGGGCAAGGGCCTGGTAAATCTCAGCTGCGATTACTGTTTACAAGAGGGCAAAATGCAGTTTCATGCATTTAAGACCAGATGGAGGGGTGCGGGGTGGGGGTGGGGGCGCTGCTAGAGCCCAGCCAGCAGGTGCACAGGGCTTTGGCAGGGTGGGTGCTTGGCTGCTGGACGCGGTCACCCATAAGGAGGTGCCCAGCAGGCAGGAGCAGGGTGGTGGAACCCCACCTGGTAATCGGGCTTGGTGAAGTAGTCAAGGCTGGCGATGTGATCCAGGAAGAGGTGGAACTCGGAGGGCATGTGCTTCAGCAGCATCCGGTGCTCGTACTTCTCTTTGATCATCCCTACCTGCTCCTGGAGGCAAGAGGGCGCGGGGAGATGGAGCCCCACTTGCCCCCGGCCCCCGCCACTCGCTCCGTCCCAGCTAACCGGCCTCACCTTGTCTTTGATCTTCCTCCAGGGCAGCTGACCCACTGCGAACTCCACCAGCATGTAGAAGAGGGACCACAGGTCATCATGGCGACCCATCTCCTGGGGAGGGAGGGGCGGGGTGGACGAGGGGCCAACCAGAGCTCTCAGGTCCGTGCCTGGGAGGGGGCCGACCCTTCATGGAGGGGCTTGAGACAGGGCGGCCCTCTCGGCAGAGGCCCTGGGCCTCCAGCACACGTGGAGCCCCATAGTCAGCGTCTTATCTGTGTCTTCTCACTTCACAGAAGCTTGTGGTGGGAACAGACAGCAGGGGAATCCCCCCAAAACAGGGAATAAGGGGAAGTCAAGCAGCGACCACAGCCAAGTTTTCCAGTCAGGATGTGTGGAGGGCAGCTTCCAGCGCCTGCCCTGCGTCTCCCCCCACTCCATGCCGGCTGCCTGCCCGCCCTGTCCCAGGGCAGCATACTCTGTCCCTCTGACCAGGCTCTGCCACTCACCCGGTTTTTGTGGGCATTGACTGAGGCATAGCGAACAGTCCCTCGAAACCCGGCCACATTCCGAGGCTGCAGAGGAGAGAACACCAGGAGCTCGTCCCCAGCCTCCACCCGGCCCGGCCCCGCCTGGCAGACCCAGCCTGGAGCTACCTGCATTAACCCTGACCCAGCTCTCCCCTTCTTCCCCAGGTCACGTCCCCACTCACACACCCCCACGGGGCTAGTCAGGCCTCCCCCAACACTGGTCCTTGACCAGAGTGGGGCTGTGGCATCTACCAAGAGCCCGGGCTAAGGAGAGCGGGGACAGCTGAGTGGGGACCCTTGGCTGGGCGGTCGGGTCCTGAACGCAAGGCTGGGCCCGCTTAGGAAACGCGAGAAAACCTGGTGAAGGGTCCCCGCGGGCCGCGAGGTACGCACCGGCCGCACGTCTCCTGTGGTGTTGGTGTACTGCCGCGCCAGCCCGAAGTCCAACATGTAGCACTTTCTGTAGGTGGAGGGCAGCCTGCCCATGGCAAAATTTGACTGTGGGCAACAGCAGGTATGAGTTGTAGGGGCTTCAATCCCAGCAGTCCACCCCAAAGGGTACCAAGAAACAGCTAGGCTGAGCGCCCCTCAGTCCCACACAGGGAATTGTAAAGTCTCCATGTGTGCAGCAGCTCATGGTGCTTCAACTGTGTGGAAGGTGTGAGTCTCCTCACATTATCATTTTCTTTTTTTTTTTTTTTTAGTTTTTCTCCACCACTATCTTATATCCCTTCCCCCCTTCTCCCCATCCCCAACTCCTGCCATCTTAACCTCGGAGATCTCTCCTGTTCATGGATGTCTGCAGGGGCGGTGAGAGGAGTCACCAGAGACAGAGTGGGAGCAGAACAGGCAGATCGACGAAGTACACTGCTGAGGGGAGCAGCGGGCGGGTCAGGAGAGGTCTGCCGCACCATGGGGGTCAGCTCCCAGGCTGGGGATGGAACTCGTGCTGCAGAAGCTGCACATAGCTTGACAGTGCTGAGACGTTATCTCCTGCACCACCAAGGAGGCCCCTGTAGTTTATATTATTGAGTGGTTCAGTGTGAAAATGTCCAGTAGTTGTTTTTATTGTTCTGACTTGCTCGACCACACACAGTTCTCTCAAATTCCCTCGATTTTGCTGAAAGTGGCTGCTCTTTGTCCTTCCTTATGGCTGAACAGCATGCCACAGGGAGGACAGACCACAGCTTCTGGATCCAGTCGCCCATCCATGGACATAGCTTCCATTCCTAGGTACAGTCAATAATGCTGCTGTGAGTGCTGTGGAACATATTTTTCCTGTGCTGATGGCTTCATAGTCTGCAGACAGATATCCAGGAGTGGGATTGCTGTGTTGTATGGTATTTCCATTTTTTTCGTTTAATGTAAATCCAGATCAGTTTCCGCAATGGCTACACCAGTTTATGTTCTCACCAAAAGTGTGATAGGACTCACTTTCTCCCCATCCTCTCCAGTACTTTCTAATATGTGCCATTCTCAGAGATGACATTGCATTGCTATTTTAACCTGAACCTCCCTTACTGTAAGCAATAATGGCATTTTTTATATATTTTTTGACTTACTGGACATTTTCTTTGGAGAACAATCTGTTCGTATCTGCCCTTATTATTTATTTTAAGATTTATTTATTTATTCGTACTGAACTGGGGTATAGGGCAGAGGTGCAGGGGTGGTGAGAGGCTTCACCAGAGACAGAGTGGGGAGCAGAACAGGCAAATTGACAAAGTACACTGCTGAGGGGAGCAGCGGGTGAGACAGGAGAGGTCCCCCGCAACACGTGGGTCAGCCCCTGGCCAGGGATCGAACTCGCACTGAAGTTGCTGTTGCTAGCTTACACCGTGCTGTGCTCTAACCCGTTGCACCACCAGGGAAGGCCCTCTCCCTATATTTACTAATTGGGATTTTTATTGTTGGATAACGTGATTTAAAAAAAATTGTATGTTACTCCCCTGTCGGTTATATGTTGCATGAATATTTTTCTCCCATTCATAGAGTGGTTTTTTAATCTTCTTGTATTTTCTCTATGAGAGTTTTTAAATTTGAGGTAATTCCAATTACTTGTTTTGCTTTTAGTTCCCTTGTCACAGGGGAGTCTCCTCATTTTATGATGAGGAAACTGCAGGTCAAAGAGTTTGATGTCTTCTCCGAGATCACAGTGATGGCCCAGCCAGAGTGTGAGCCAACGCCTGCCTGGCTCGGTGTCCTTGGAAGTCCCAATTGTGCAGGGTGGCTCAGTGTCAGTCTGCTCCCAGGCAGCAGGAGCCCTGCATTGCTCAAGCTGTGTGACCTCGGGTCAGTCAACACACATTTCTGGGCCTCAGTTCTCACCCCTTTAATCTGGAGGTTTTTTCCCAGTATAGTGTCCAAGATATATAGTATCCAAGATACTATACAATTAACTACTTAGAATTCTTAAGCAAGTCCTAACCCCTTCATCCCCTTCCCTCAACCCCCCCATTCATTTGCTCACCCCTTCACTTTGCCAGGTTCAAGGACTATTCAGGTCAGGGGTGAGGGAGAGGAAGAGGAGAGAACTGAGGAGCAGGCACGGGCCTGCCAGGGGTATGTGCTCCTGGGAGTGAGGGCGAGGAGCATGGGAAGGGGTCGGAGGAGGACACAGAAGAGGCTGTCCCTGCTCCAACCCTAATCTGGAGAGGAAACGGGGTGGGGGGAACCCAGGGAGTGAGAAGAGGGGTATGTGTTTCCGAGCAGGAGGTGGGGGACCGCGCTCACCGGCTTGATGTCGCGGTGCAGGAAGCCCACAGAGTGGATGGCCTCAATGGACTCGAGGATCTGCTTGCCCAGCCGCAGTGTGGTGCTCAGTGTGAAGGTTCCTCGGGGCTGGCTGCGGCGCAGGTCAGCCAGGTTCCGACCCTGGAAGGTGGGGTGAGGCTACCTCCACCTGCTCTCCACCTACCACCTACCAGGGCCCTATCCAGACTCTCCCCAGAGGCTTGTGGCCACTCCCCCAAACCTCAGGGTCCACCCTTCTCTCCCTCTCCTCCCCTCACCCCAGGAGCCTGCCCAAGCTCTTGGCCAAGCGCAGGGAGGATGACCCACCAGGACTCACCTGGAGCTGCATCACTACATAGTTGAACTTCTCATTCCGGCCACAGCCAATGAACCTGCACACGTGGTCCTTCCCTGCGGGGCACAGACAGGGAAGTGTCACCTCCTAGACCTCCCTCGGCCTGAGGTGGGCTCAGGTGCACTGTCCCTGCCTGGTTTCCTAAGCCCTGACTCCGAGACTCTTCCATCACCGCCCTCTGCCCTCAGCCCCACAGTTCTCTTAGACTCTGGTCCCTGCCCCCACCCCCGCCCCTGGCTCCACCACCCCTTCTTCCCAGCCCCCTGCCCTAGGAGCGGACCTTGTAGCTTTTTGAGCACAGCCACCTCCATCTTGAGGACCTGTTTGGGCTGCTGGGCTGACTCCACCTTGAGGGCCACATTCTCTCTGGTCAGCAGGTCCATGGCCTCATAGATCTCTCCAAAGCCCCCGCCCCCGATCTTTTTCAGCTGCAGAGATTGGGTGGAGAGAAGAAGAAACAGAAATCAGGCTGAGCAGCTCCACATCTTGCAAACTGCTGGGTCGTGTTCTCCACTGATGGGGGCATGGGCTGTCCTTGAGGGGAAGGACCCATGGCCCCCTTCCTTGCCCACCTACCTGTTCCCCACCTTTTATTCTAGTGCAGGAGACAGTTCAGGCCATGGGTGGACACACACACACACACACACACACACACACACAACCAACAGCCAAAGTGCGCAGGAAACGAATGAGACTTGTGACCCCACACAGGCATGTAGACAAGCCTATGTAGGATTCTGGAAATATAATGGGGTGCTTGGAACTTTTCTGGAAGGACAATAAACATTCACACTCTCCTACCCTGAGCAACATCCCTCCAGAAACTCCCACCTTCAGGGTGGATCCCCCAGAGAAGCAGGCCCTTCCTGGGGTTGACAGTCTCTTGAAAGCTGTCCCCAGAGGAAATCCCTAGGAAGGGAGTCTTGGGGGAGAGGGAACAAGCAGAAGGGTTTCACTATCCACATACCCTGCTAAAGCTCAAAATCGCTCTCTAGACCCCTGCTGAGGTGCCCAAACTAAGGTGCACCTCCTCCCCAGGGCAGGGGAACTTGGGGGCGCAGTATGGGAATAGCAGTCTGGAGAAGAACCCAATATTCCTGGGGGTGGCGCAGTGAAGATCTGAACCTGAGGCCCCCCCTCCTCTAGCACAGTGAGAAAGGGTCAAAGCGATGGCTGTGACAGAGGAAGAATCAAATGGGAAGAGTCAAGTTGCGGGGAGGGATTATACAGCGTTTTTAGCCAGAGGCCAGAGGTCTTGGACAGCGAGGAGGTTGTGGCAATGATGGGAGCAGGCAGAGAGGTGTAGCGCTCTCACCTGGTACTTCTTTGACTTAAGAAAGAGGTCCAGGCAATTCTCACCTCTTCAGGGAATCTGCTCCTCTGGGTAGCCTGCCCTCTCTAGATCTGTCAGAGCCATGCTTTGCATCCTGCTGGCTTGTATCTGCACATCTGCAGATGGGTCGCTAATGACTGAATCCAGGTGGCTCTGATCAGCCTGTGAACTCCTGACTGCACCTCCTGCCTCTCTGTGCCCTCCTCCGAGCACTGATCCAGCTCTCTGTGCCCAAGAGGCGTTACAGAGTGGCTGAAACAGCGAATGGAAGGAGGAAGGGAACAGTGCAGAGCTGAGGATTGGGAGTTCCCAGCAGGTTACAAAAGAAAGCACTCTAGAATGAGAGGAAGATGAAAAGATTTAGCAGAGAGGTGAAAGGCTGGCTGGGTCTTGAAGGCTTTTATGACAAGGGAGGAGACAGGGAGAGGGGAAGGAGGAAAGAATGAGAAACTAGAGATACTCTCTTCTTGAGATGAAAGTTAAGGTCAGAAAAGAGATTGTGTCTTTCTCTGGGGAACTTGAAATTCAAGGGAGATTTGGTATCTTCCTGATACCAAATGGTTTTATGTTTTGCTGCCTGTGGACATGGAGGAAAGGGCAAAGGGAACAAGCTCCACATCTTGGGGCCTGGGCTTCGGATTCACAGAGATCATTTGGTTCTTCCCAAAGGTGAAGAAAGTCATAGGAACTATTTTTCACAGAAGGGAAACGAAGGCAGAGTTAAGGACTGTCTTGGGTCACACTGCTCGTAAGGTGCAAAGCCAGGTTTCCTTTAAAGCCAGCCTCTCCGATGCGGAACCCACACTCTCAATTGAGATGGCACAGGAGCTATTGCCCACATCCACATTAAAAGCATGAGTGCTCAGATTCAAGCCCAGATCTGTCAGGTTCCAAAATCCTTGCTAGAGATGGTAAGGAGGGCTCCCGGCAGCTGAGACATTCATGGCCCCTACTCCCCAACTTCCCAGAGTGACCAAGGCTATTTCTCTATCCCCTTCAGTTCCAAACAGAGCCACTTGTCCTTCTGTTGTCCCCTCTTTACCCCCCACCCACTATTACAGAGCTTGGGTGGAGGTTGGGGCACACCCCACTCTGTAGCTACCCACTTCCCACAGGCCACCTTATCTATGGGGCACACAGCACAGTGACTAAGCCCATAATAATATACTTCTGGGGGTCATGAAAATATTTTCTTCTAACTCAGAAGGAAAAATTGAAATTTAAAGTCAAAAAGAAAATTCTAATATAAAATTCAATTTTATTATCCATGTGATGTTTACATATTGCATTAAATCCTCCAATATACTTCTAGTACTCTGTGATGGAGGAAAGGACCCACAAAGGCAAAAGGGTCCAAGCTCCACAAAAGTCCTAGTGCAGCCCAGAGATTCCCTCATACCTTCCAGAAGCCCTCCTCCTTCCTTCTTAAAATTTCTTCAAGCTCCCCTCCCCTGCATCCCTCCAACTCCTCCCTAAATTGGGGGAGTAATATGACACAATAAGACTAACATTCAGCAAGGAAAATGCAATTCTGTCTTCTTGGCCCAGTTCTTGGGTGAACTAGATGGGTTTCTTAATTATTCTAAGCTTCAACTTTTCTTCCTCTGTAAAATGAGAGGACTGTAAGTCTCACACAGATGCTTTCCATTCTATGCTTCTAATTTTTAGAGGGCTCAGTTCTTGGGAAGTAGCATAGTTGGGTGACTCCTTGATCCAGCTGTCAGGCACACCTGGTTCCACCTACCAGTCACGAGAACTTGGCAAGTTAGCTAGCCTCTGCGCCTCAGCGCCACACCTGTGACACAGGTACCTGTGACACACCTGTGACAGTAAGAGTACCTGCACCAAGGGCTGCTGAGGTAACAATGCACGGAAGGCGTTTTAACAACGCCTAGTGAGAGTAAGTGTCCAAAACAAATGCTAGATTTTTTTTTCTTACTTATTGTTTTCTTATTCCGCCAGAGAAATGCCCCTCAAGAAGAATACTGTTATCTTTAGATACTCCACCTAGTGCCACTGGTGTGCATGTTCTCTTGGGCACAGTCTACCTCTGGGCAGCTTCTTGGTTCCTAAGCCGGTGCCTCCTGTCTCCGTCCCATCCCTCAAGGGAGCAAGCTAAGGGAAGGCTTCTGGAACCCCACCCTCTCTGGTTCTCCAGAGGCCCTGGAGGGATTTACTTTAGAGGGCAGCAGGCTTGGCAAACATTGAATGCTTGTGCACTCCCACAACTCTCCACTGACATTTCTCTCTCTACTCACTTCTCTCAAAAAGGCAAGTGCAGGGGCCCTCTCTGGTGGCGCAATTCATTAAAGTGCAGTACTGCATATCTGGCCACAGCAACCTCAGCTTGAGTTTGATCCCCAGCCAGGGAGCTGACCCACGTTGTGTGGCAGACCTCTCCTGTCCCACCCGCTGCTCCCCTCAACATTGTACCTCATTGACCTGCCTGTTCTGCTCCCCTCTCTGGCTCTGGTGAAGCCTCTCACCCCCGCACCGATCCTCTGGCCTGCACCCCAGTTCTGTATTCATAACTAAATAAATTAAAAAAAAAACAAGAATATTTAAAATCAGACTCAAACTTTATTTTATGTTTTTTTTTAAAGATTTATTTATTTATGTATACAAGGACTGGAGTAGAGGCCAGAGGTGCAGGGTAGGGGGTGAGGATTCACCAGAGACAGAGTGGGGTGCAAAACAGGCTAATCTACTGAAATACACTGCTGAGGAGAGCAGTGATTGAGACAGGAGAGGTCTGCTGCACCATGTGGGTCAGTTCCCTGGCCAGGAATGGAACTCATGCTGCAGTGGCTGAGGAGAGCTTCATAGTGCTGTGCTTTAACCCAGTGCGTCACCAGGGAGAGCACCCTTTAATTTCTTTTAAAATCAGAATCCCTTGTGGTGGCACAAAGGGTTAGGAGGTAGCACTGCAAGCTAGCCACGGCCCCTTCTATCTCTGGCCCTGGAGCTGACCCACATGCACAGCAGACCTCTCCTGTCTCCATCACTGCTCCCCTCAGTAGTGTACTATATTTTCTGCTCCCCACTCTGCCTCTGGTGAGTCCTCTCACCACCCCTGCACCTCAGGCCTGTACCCTAGTTCTGTATGCATAAATAAATAAATCTTAAAAAAAATAATAAGGGAAAATGGACTGTTTGGTCAAAAAGAAAACATGCATGGGCCTCCCTGCTGGCACAAGGGGTTAAGTCTCAGCACTGTCTGGCTTTTTCCAGCCACTGTAGTACAAGTTTGATGCAGAACTGGGAGCTGACCCACATGGCTCAGCAGACCTGTCCTGTCTTGCCTGCTGCTCCCCTCAGTAGCGTATTTCAGTAGGTCTGCCTGTTCTGCTCCCTACTCGGTCTCTGGTGAACCCTCTCATCCCCCTGTACCTCTAACCTATAACCCAGCTTTTGTATGCATAAGTAAATAAAATAAATCTTAAGAAAAAAGAAAACGTGTTTGTTTGTGAACATCATCTTTTCCTCTTTGGTTCCAATGTCTTCTGACTCCTGACCTGTCAAACACTAAGTTCTTGCCCCTGTGGACCCAGAGCGGGTTCCTGGAGAAACAGCTGCCACTTTGCCAGACAGCACCTTCCCTCAGTTCTCTGTCCCCTCCGTCCCCCCCCCCTCCAGCCCCAGACTTATGAATGACAACAGCACATTAGCCTTTTCCCAGGGCCACTAAGGGACCAGGCAGCTGGTGGTTGTTACCATGGAGACCTGCCTGCACCTAGGTCCCACTCTCCTCTCACCCCCTCACACCTGGAGAATTGAGCATCCCCTCCAGACCTCCTCCCCCACCATGTTCTCCCTCCCTTCCTCCTAGCTCCCCACCCCGGCACAGATCCGTAAGCTCCAACACTTATCACCTCACAATCTTCCCCATATTATCCTGCCCCCATAATGATGAGAACTGCAGAGCGCTCTGAACCAACGGGAAGAAGGGAAGGTGGAACAGAGATTGATTTACAGTACATCTCTCTCCCCAGACACTGCCTTCCTCCCAACCCACCCACGTGTCCCCCTCCCATCCGGGCCCAACCCCCCGAGGAGGCTCGCACTACAACTCCCAGCAGGCCGAGCAGCCTGAAGTCCTGGGCTGGAGGGGCAAGGCACGCTGGGAGATGGAGTCTCTGCGTGTTGCACCTGCCGCAGGAACCAGTGAGGGGAGGAGGGTGAATGGGGAAGATGGAGTGCGGATGCGGTAGGAATACCCGCAGAGCCTTTCCCCCCAGCCCAAGCTTTTCTGTCCTCCTCGGAAGCGGAGGAGCACAAGCTCACTCACTGCCCTTCTCCAAGGTCCGGCGAAGAAAGGGTCCCCTCCCCCCACGCTCTCCCTCCTCCCCCACCGAGCTCTGCAGCTCCTATTCCCACATCCAACCAGGAGTTGTTCCAGGCTGGGCCCGACCAACGTGACCTGGTGGGGGAAAGGGGTGAGAGAGGGCAGGGTTGGACAGGGTTGGACCGGGGAAGGCAACTGTCCACAAGTGTAGGCAAAAATAAAGGCCAGCGAGCGGTATGCAAATGAGCTCAGGGGCACCTCCCTCCTCCGGTGGGGGTGCGGAGGGCACGTGTTCTAGCAAGTCGCCGACCCCTTCTTCATCCCCGGCCGCCCCCACCTCGCCCTCTGCTGCACGGAGCCTCTCACTCACCACCTTCCAGCGATCCTTGACCACGTAGTTGGCCGGCAGGATGTCGGCCTGCTCCCCTCCCCCACTCATGTTGGTTTCGTCCTTAAGAGCTGCCGCTAGGCACTGCATCCGCCAGCCGGAGGGAGGGGTGTCCGCAGGGCCTGCCCTGGGGGGGCCATCTACCTGGGGGAGTGGGGAAGGGCTGTGAGTGGTTCTGGCTAGGGACCCTAGACCACCTTGCAGATATGGAGGAGGGGAGCTCCATTCTCCAGGCTGGCATCCTTCTCTGGACCCACCCGCAGATGCACCAGGGGTAACTGGGGGAAGTATTGTGTAAACACTGGATGGAACTCAAAGGAAGAGAACAGAAATACCATCCACGGAAAGGGAGATACAAACTACACACTGGGGATGTGAAAACCTGCGGTGGGACACACACGGTTGATGGAAAAGAAAAAAACGATGTGTGAACTGCTGTGGGGAAAAACAGTTCCTGAAGAGACATATCCTAAGTAGGGGGGGGCAGGGGGACTTGCTAACTAAGGTGGGGTTACAGAGGGGGGATCCCTGCTTGTGTAGAGAAAGGCCAGTCTGAGGGACCACACCTATGACCCCCACACCCTCACTGTGCCAGAAAGGCTCTCGGAGCTGTGTCTCGGAGACATACTGGAAAGGGCAGAGACCTGCTAAGTGAGGGGTGACCCATGGAGAGTCACACCAGTCTCAGGGACCTACTAATCAACGGTGAGAGAACAGTCTTCGAGAAGAGGAAACCGTACAGCCCCTGGGGAGGATGTGGCTCCAGAGCCCCCACACACCTCAGCAGGCAGCCGGACCCAGACCCACCGACAGCACTGGCTGATGGGGTGGAATTAGGGCAACGGACTCAAGATATGAATTTTATAGAGATGGCAGCCCTGTAGCCACTCTGAAGGAGACAGGCTGAAATGGTGGAGAGTTAGGGACAGGAGGGAGCAGCCTAAAAGAAGGCAGGAGGAGTAACAGGGAGCTGCAGGTCTGGATAGGCGTGGGTTAGAGAGCTTCTGACCACACCTTTCTGTGTCTGCTCAAGAAGAAAGAAGGAGTACGGCTCAGTGGCATTCGGACAGGGGGTGCCAGTGTGTGTTCCACCTGCGAGGGAATGCGTGTCTGTCTACTGCCTGTGCACACACGTGCTTGTGTCTTGGTGTGTCTTTGTGTGGGATTGTGGGTGTGTGTATATCTGTGTCTGTATGTGTTTACATGTCTGCTGATGAGTGCACAGGCATATACATAGGCAGAGAGACAGCAAAGGTGACTTTCTGAGATCAACCCAGTACAAGATTGAAGCCAGGATCTTTTCTTTTCCTCTCTCCCCCTACAATTTTCATAGGCACACTTCTCTGCCCTCACAGTGATCTGGAGGGTCACAACACAGGGTAGGGAAGGGTGGAGGGAGGAAAGTGCCTAGAATGTCTATGGGTAGGCTATGGATTCCGTAAACCTGCCTCCTTGGGATGGGACAATTCCCCAGATTCCTCTGTCTAGCCAGAGAGGGATGGGGAAAGAGTAAAAACAGTCTTACAGTCGTGGTGTGCATCAAGGGGCATGTGAGCAGGGATCTTCCTGGGAGAGGGAGATGTCACTCTTTTCCTTCGCCAAATAACTGTTTCCTCCCATCTGCACAGCTGTATACTATCAAAACTGTGGGGACAGCAGACAGGACTCTGTCTGAGGCATTGGGGGTTTGGAGGGCAGTGAGGACAATGGCAGACTGAAGTGAGAGTTAGGGATGGCGGTTCTGGAAAAAGGTGGAGGAGACAGGTGAGCACAGGACTAAAGAAGATACTGAACAGTTAGGCAGGGAGTCTTAAGGAGTTGAGCTGGGTAACCTCCACGAACCACCCACGCCTGTGATGGTGGAATCTCTACGCTGATGATTTGCTCCCATTTCATACATGGGCAAGCCTAGAAGGAACAGGTGAGATGGGAAAAGGGAGAGTATAGGTGGGAGGATAAATGAGGATTACTTGCCTCTCCCTATCCACCGTCCTCCCACTCTCTGTCTCAGAGGACTACATTCAACTCAGCTAACATTGGACCACGAGGAACTTGGCTGTCCCATTACTGCCCCTTCAGGACCTTTTGGGCATGGTTGTATAGTGAGAAAGGGCTTGTGAAGGAGGTTTTTAAATGAATATCTTTCAGAGTGTGCATTATGAGAATGTGGAGCCAATATATGTGTTTGGGGTGTGTGTGTGAGAGAGAGAGTGTGAGAGAGAGAGGGATCTAATTGGTTGGGAACGTGTGCGAATGTAGATTCTGATGTGTATTATGCAAGGTGTGAGCCAGGTGTGTGGAAGAATCTGGGAGCCCAGGTAAAGAGGAGTGAAGGAAACCAGTGAGGGGTAATGGGAACAGGTGGAAAGCAGCAGGCTGGAATGGAGGGGGCAAGGGGTGACCGAGGGGGTTGGGTAAGATAAAGAGACAGGTGAGAGGAAATGAAGAGGAGGTGATGAACCACAAGAAAGGCTTCTGGGCACAGTTAAGGGGCTGAGGAAGAAGGTAAGAAGACAGTAGAAGGAGGAGAGGAACTGAGGACAGGGGAGTGAGGTTATGGAGACAGCTGGGAAAGACTTGTGAGGGATGACAGGAGAGTGAATCCAAAGGGATGGTGGGGAGAGATGGGAAGTGAGCAAACGCCCTGGAGGACAGGCTGGAGAGGGTGGGCATATGTGCTGGGAGCAGGGAGCGGTTCCAGGCCTCGGGATGCGGCCCAGGCTGTGTAGGCCAGCGTCCCAGCTCCGGCGGAGATGGCAGCAGGGAGGGGGATCTGGGAAGGCTGCGCAGAGGGGTGAGCCAGGCCGAGGCCCCGGAGCCCCAGCACACGGAAGGAGCCCCCTCCCCGACCCC